TATTTGCCAAATATCTGACACCCTACACCTGATGGAGAGTAAACCTCATGGAGACATTGACCAATATGCACCTATTTTATGAACATTATATACCAAGAACCGAACATAGCTCTTGTCCCAGCACAGTGCATGATAAATGTTTAGAAAATAAATGAATGGCTGGCTTGAACAAAACTACCATCTTTTCTATTTCTGCTGTCGGAATTGAAAGAGTAGAGGTGGCCTCTATACCTCATCTCACAACAGAATACCAAATTATTAAAAGCACCTGAAACCAAACTGAATTACAGTCAAAATGGTAGATTGACTCTCTTCTCCTTCTAGCCAAGGAGCTGCTAAAAAGGGAGGTCACTGGTCTAAAAAGTTATAAAGAACTTTGAGGAAAAGAAGGTGCATTTATCAAAACCAGGAAGATTCTAATCCAAAGTCTCTTGAGAGGGCCAATCACCTACATAAATAGTCATACAGTCACTCACATAAATGCCAAAATGTCAGAATTTAAAGTTGGCATTTGGAAGGGAAGTAGCTGTATCTCCACAGAAACCTGAACCCTACAGACCTTGCTCACATAGTACAGTATTTTCCAGTGTTATCCTGAGAAGCCCAGCTGTTCCCATAACTAAAGGCAATTTCCAGTCATTTCTTTGGTTTTCCACTAATTATACATTATTATTGTAATGGTATAGCATGTCAAGCCATGGTCTTTATGAAAACCAGGGTACTTCTGGGGGAAAACAGATAAAAGGGAAACTCATATCTCTGTCTCTGTCTCTACTGAACCAGGCATGGGTGATCCTTCAAGGTAGAAACTGGGTGTTGCTCATCTTTGCTTACCTGGAGCCTAGAATGGTGCTGAGCACAGAGTAGATTGTCAATTGGTGTCTACTGAATGTCTACATAAATGATGGATAGATGGGAGTGTGTCTAAGCAATTTGTGGAGTTTTCTTTCACTGAAATAAAGTTGACCCTTGGACTATTCATTTAGGAAGATTATGTACTTATAAACTGACCCACCTGTGCTCAGACCCTATAGGGACATTCTCTACATCATCCCCCCGCCACCAAAACCTTATCTATTTATTCCCAATTTCTACTGTTCTATTTACACTCAGCATGTCTTCTGACCTTTGGCAATATCTCCCAGCTGGAGTCTTCTCTTTCCTTGGACAAGGCATTGGTACTTAATTTTTTCTTTCTTAAGATCTGTTACTCAGCTTATCTCATTCTCATCTTTGGCTGACCTAGATAAGGGTCCTCCCTCAAGCTTCAGCCACTTCAGGTGTAACTGGCTTTCTGCCAGCCCAAGACTTCTGAAACAGATTTTAAAGAGAGATGCCCTAGAAATTGGATAACTGGTGAGCTGCCAACAGATGACAGGTAACAGGCATGATGATATCATACATCTAGCTATCAAACTACTTCCAGATGTGGATAACTGAGGAGAAAAGATTACTGTACATGATGCTATTACCTATGTCTTTTCTAGAAAGACAGTTAAAAAAAAAAACCCAAAGCAAGATTTAAACATGACATCAAGACACAGATTGGTGCTTGCTTTTTCTGCTCTCTGCTAATTCCACACTGCTTCATTCAGCTACTTTATGTTTTCAAGTCTAAATTGAAAATATCTTCCCTTCCTCCCAAGGATCAAAGATGAATATAATTGTAGTTAAGATCTTAGATTGTCAACTCTGGAAGGCCAGTGTGGAAATTCTGGGTCTACTAGTAAGTAGCACGGGCAAGCTATCTAACCTCTTCAAGCCATAGTGCTCTTCTTTCCAAAATATGAAAAATAACAGCACAGAGGGAAATTGCTCACTGGAATTCCAGGACCTCAACTGTCCTGGATGAATGATATTTCCAACATTTAGATATCTTTAAAAGAACTTTTCCTGCTACCATTTGATCCAGGTCTTGCATCTTCTGGATATATTTTTTCCTTCTTTCCTTCCTTCCTACCTTTCTTTTTTCTTTCCCCTCCCCACTGCCCTTTATCTATATGTTCTTACCTACTACATGGATTAAGGGATGCATGTCTAATGTCAATTTCCACAATCAAGTTAAAAGATAATAAAAAATGTGGCCGGGCGCAGTGGTTCACGCCTGTAATCCCAGCAGTTTGGGAGGCCGAGGCGGGCGGATCACGAGGTCAGAAGATTGAGACCATCCTAGCTAACATGGCGAAACCCTGTCTCTATTAAAAATACAAAAAAATTAGCCAGGCGTGGTGGCGGGCGTCTGTGGTCCCAGCTACTCGGGAGGCTGAGGCAGGAGAGTGGCATGAACCTAGGAGGTGGAGCTTGCAGTGAGCCGAGATCGCACCACTGCATTCCAGTCTGGGTGAGAGTGAGACTCCGTCTCAAAAAAAAAAAAAAAAAAAAAAAAAAAAAAAATATATATATATATACGTGATATCCAGCAAAATAAGCATCCCACCTTCTATTTTACAAGCTATGAGTCACAAGGTCACTGCAATCACTCATAATGGTTCATATCCCACTATGGATGTTGTAGGGGCTGAGCCTCTGGCATGCCCACTGGTCATTTACAACCCAGCCCTATACAGTACCACAACACCAAGTTGTTCCTTAAGTATCGTAATTTTTAACATATAATCTTTTAAAATCTTTTTGAACAATTAAAATGCTTACTTCCAGACCCCTGGGTAAATGACTTATTTATTCTACCTCCCTCATGACCTTGAAGTGAGGATTAAGAGAGATAAAGTGTGTAAACCAACTGGTGTATGACCTGGCATAGGCAGGGTAAGCAATAATTTAGAATGTGCTGAAATGGGACTGTTTGAATTGGTAGCTGTTGCTTCTGAAGGCTTTTTCTAATAGATCCAGAGAAAAATAAATCTAAAACCTTCTCACTATGACTGGAATGAGGTAAATTAGGGCTAGCATATAGGTCTGAACATGCACACTCACTCTGACAAATAGTAGCCACCTGGAGTACAAATAAAGCTGCAGGAAAGAGTTCTGTGTTCAATCAGCACTGGTCACTGTGGACCTAGGTTGAAGGAATGACAACATGGGTGCTGTGTGTTTGCTGTCTTTGCTGTTGTGATAAGCACATAGGACTGCCAGTTAGAAAACCTGGATTTTAGTCCTGCCCCACCTAGACACACCACCTCCAGCAAATCACCCAAGTCGAGACTGATTTCCTCATCTGCTTCCGTCGCCATCTTGCATGTTGTATCCTAGTAATCATAAACTGCTTGTGGTTCTCCCTACGTATCATTCTGTTGTCTAGTCCCTTGGCTTTCCTTTGCCTGGAGTACCCTTCTTATCCTTCTAACTCCCATAAGTCTTACCCTTCAGTTCCTAGCTCAAGCAGTGCCTTTCCCAGGAAGCCTTTCTCAACCCCCAGGTGGTGCTATGTACCCCAACTCTAAATGCCCACCCACCTGAGCATTATTCCTCTATTCTATGGGTTAGCAAACTTTTTCTATAAAGGTTCAATAGTCAATATTTTAGGCTCTGTAGGCCAGATAGCCTCGGTCACAACTATTATATTAAACTCTGCCATTGTAGCACGAAAGTATCCGTGGACAACATATAAATAAATGAGTATAGCTGTGTCCCAGTAAAACTTTACCGTTGGGCCAGACATGGTGGCTCATGCCTGTAATCCCAGCATCTTGGGAGGCTGAGGCAGGAGGATTGCTTGAGGCCAAAATTTAAGACTAGCCTGAGCAACATATTGAGATCCATGTCCACCAAAAAAAAAAAAAAAGTTCTAATTAGCAGGGCCTGGTGGTGCATATCTGTAGTCCCAGCCACTTGGGAGGCTGAGACGGGAAGATCCCTTGAGTCTGAGTGTTAAAGGCTGCAGTGAGCTATGGTTATACAGGTCACAAGGTATGACTGTGCGTCACAAGGTATGACGTCCTTCAATCTGGGGGACAGAGTTAGACCCTGTCTCGAAACAACAACAAAACAAAAACAAAAAAACCTTTATTTTCAAAAACAGATGTTGGGCTTGATCTACCCTATCAGGTAACATGTCATACTGGAATTGATCCATGTGCATATCTTTCTCTTTCACTAGACCGTGCGCTAAAGGCAGAGATAGGCCTTATTTCTTTGTACCTCTAACATTCAGCACACAGTGGCTATTCAATAACTGAAGTAACAACGCTGGAAAACTGGAATAATAATCTCTTTCTGGCTATTCCACAGGGCTATGGGTTTTAAGCATGATAAAGCATGTGAAAGCCCAGGACAGTGATAAGGCACCATTCAAACGTATGGTGCTCTTCCTGCGGGCACATCATTGACACTCTTGCTCTAGCCTCAGGAGGTGGAGAGTCATATATGAACCTGTTATTTCCTGCCACAAGCAGACACAAAATGAAACGCCAGCTAAACCCTCACTCCTTTCAGACTCAGCTTCTAAGAAGAAATGAATCATTAGGTTATATGCTGAGTTGAAACATATTAAACTGAAGTCCTGAAGTGACCCTGAAAGGCATAAAAAGCCTCGCAACGTCTGCCTCCCTTTCTTTAAGTTTCTCTTTAACAAATTCCTTCACACTTTTCCGGAAAGTATCAATATTTACATCTGTTGAGTTTGCTGTCAAGCTTAACAGAAGGCAGGAATAGATGTCTGAGTCCCCAAGGTGTGGACACAGAACTCAGAGAAGTCCCACTCAGCTGGGGTTTCTGCTCACTATGCAATGCTGCTCTTACCTGAAAACATGACCTCTTTACACCAGCCCGCTGTGACCAACACAACGTGAAAATTCTGTACAGATGTGAACAAATGGAGTGAACATTGGAAGGTGAGGATGAAAGATGAGATGTCCTGATCTTGCTGGTGCCCTAGGCCCATCCCCAATGATGACATTCATTCACTCACTCACTCACTCATTCATTCATTCATTCATTCAACAATTATCTTGAGAGCCAACTCCATGCCAAATTGTGCTGGGCATTCATTGCCTTTGTAGAGAGAACAAGGCACCACTGGGATTTCTCAGGCGCACTATTACCTTGCAGGGAAGGGCTCCAGGGCCTTTCGGGACCGAAGGGGCGGAGGCAAGAGGAAAGCTAATACCTCTAGTATTGTCTGCCAGTCAGAAGGCCACACCGGGATTAGAAGGGGAAGGGTTCCAGCACCTTCCTCCACCCTTGTCCCGAGGAAACCAAACCTTGCAGCTATTGTTTTCGTCGAAGCCCGAAGCCATGGGCTCGGCTGCGGCCCCTCAAAGGCCCCCACCAGCGCCACTCTCAGCTCTTCGCCCAGGATCACCTTGAGGCTGCGCCCTCCGCGTGCGCCCAGCTGCCTGCCCCTGCGCCACCCTGGGGCACCTTAGGGGCTGGAGGCTGTCTCGGCGGGCTTGGGGAGGTTGTGGCCGGGACCGCGAGGTTGCGCCCCCTGTAATCGCCCCGCAATGCCTCGCCAACTCCGGAAGATTTCAAGGAGTTGTGCCCGATAGTTTGCCACGAATCTCCAAACGGTGAACTACCACTTTCCTCCATGCCCTGCATTTCCCAGAGGGAGGGCTGAGGTCCAGGGACAGCACTGCTGCCCAAAATAACACTGCTGGTTAGTGGCACAATAAGGCCCAAACCCAAGGTCCTCTATCACTGGCACTCATGACAATAAAAGCAATGTCTATTTAGGAAGCGCTTGCCATATGCTAGGCCCTGTGACCATTTTAGGTACGTTATTTCATTCATTCTTCTCAGCCACAACCAGAGATAACATTTGTATCTCTATATAAATTAAAGCACCCAGAAATTAAATAGTGCCTGAAGAGCAACAAGCAGTGAGCAGGTGGGCGAGGTTTCCGTCCACTTTACCCCGTGATAGATTCCCGCTGATGTCAGGGAACTCATTCTCTGTTGTGTGCCTACCTGGCTGTTACAAACTTTGGTATACTTTAAGATGCCTAAAAGGAATGGGCTGCATCGTTTTTCTTATTTGTGTACATTCAGGGGACAGAATACCATTGCTGGCCTACACTGGGCCCAATTAATGGTTTTTTTAGTCTTGCTATTCACATAAAACACGAATAAAAACATCTTGTAGTATATATGTACATGTACATTTTGTATTGCATATACTTTTTGTTATATAGATTGACGGATAATGTTGCACATATGCCTATAAAGAAAAACTGTTCACTGCAGCATCCCCATGTATAACACTGAACCTGGCACATTCTAAGTGTATAATAAATGTTTATTGAACAAATTCATGATTAAAAAAACAATAAAATGTTAGCAGTGGTGTTAGGGAAATTGTCATTTTAAGAATACTTTTCGATAAGGAACTTTTTAAAAATTGTGGTAAGAGCACTTAACGTGAGATCTATCCTCTTAACAATTTTTTGGGTTTTTTGAGACAGGGTATCACTCTGTCACCCAGGCTGGAGCGCATTGTGCCATTATGGCTTCCTGTAGCCTCGACCTCTTGGGCCCTAGCAGTCCTCCCATCTCAGCTTCCCGAGTAGCTGAGACTACAGGTGCGTACCACTATGCCCAGATAATTTTTGTATTTGTCATAGAGACAGAGTCCCTCTATGTTGCTCAGGCTGGTCTCAAGCTCCTGGGCTGAAGGGATCCACCTGCCTTAACCTCCCAAAATGCTGAGATTTCCGGTATGAGCCACCACGCCAGCCTTAACAAATTTTTAAGTGCACAGTGCAGTATTTTTAACAGTAAGTACAATGTTGTAGAGCAGTTCTCTAGAACTTATTCAGCTGCATAACTGAAACTTTATACCCAGTTGAATAGCAACTCTATTTTTTCCTCCCCCTAGTGCCTGGCAACCACCATCTACTCTCTGCTCCTACGAGTTTGACTACTTCAGATTCCTCATGTCAGTGGGAATCACGCAGTATTTGTCCTGTGACTGGCTTAATGTCACTTAGCATAATGTCCTCAAGATTCATTCATGTTGTTGCATATGGCAGGATTTCCTTCCCTTTAAGGCTGAAAAATATTCCATTGTATGTATATGACACATTTTCTTTATCTACTCCTTTATCAACAGACATTTAGGTTGTTTCCACATGTCGGCTATTGTGAATAATGCTGCAATGAACATGAGAGTGCAAGATCTTGATTTCAATTCTTTTTACTAAATACCCAGAAGTGGGAAATACTGGATCACATGAGAATTCTATTTTTAACTTTTTGAGGAAACGCCATACTGTTTTCCATAGCAGCTGCACCATTTTGCATTCTTACCAACAGTGTACAAGGAAACACATATTTTTAATAATCAAAATATGTACCTATCTATAATTTTGTTGGCCTTTTGGAAAATAATAAGTCAAAAGTAACAGGAGTTCATGAAGATGTTCACAGTCTTGAGCCAGTTTACTCCTACAGATTGATCCTAGGGAGGAACAGGAGGAAGTAAGAAATGCCCTTGGGCTGTCCCAGAAACAAACTGCTTCCTTGCAGCCACTTCCTGGGACTCACTGGTCCAGTGTGAGGGAAGCAACTGGATAAATGATGCTATTTCAACACTATGGCATATTGTGTAGCTACTGAATAATAATAACTACAGAAACTTTGCAGTCCATAGAATCTGTAGAAACATGGAAAATGTTTATTAGGTAAATGAAAAATATCAGATGTGAAAGCAGTGTGAGGGTTGTGGGGTTTAGATAACTCACTGTTATTTTCATTTTCAACTATTTTAATGGTTTCTATCCTTGTTCATCAGGATAGATGAACACTCAAGCAGCAGCAATATCAGCTAGGTTTACCCTGGAGCTTGTTAGAAATGCAGAATTTTTAGCCCCACTCCAGATCTACCAAACCAAAATTTGCATTTTATCAAGATTCCCAAGTGATTTGTATGTGCCTTATGGCTTATATTATCTTTTTTTTTTTTTAAATATATTTGTTGAAGGAGCTCCTTAATTTGGTTTTCAAGCAATCTACAGATGAAGAGATAAAATTTGAGTTAAGTGACTTAACCAGAGTTCTGTACCATTCAATGTCAGCTGTCAAGCCCAAGTCCCCTGATTCTGAGGCTACAGCTAAATTCAGACTAGCCACAGCCTGCCTGGCCTTGTTTCTGTGCCAGGCCTTCCTCCATATGGCCTGAGGTGGTCCACCCACTGTCACCTTCCTTAGGCTAAACAGCATGGACAGTGACTACCGTCAACAGGGACCCGTTTCAGGAAAAAGAGGACAGGCTGAGGTTTCTGAAAACATTCCTGTCTCTCCCATGAGTTCCTGATGGCACTCCCTTGAACCCAATCCAAGGGGCTGAGGATTCGTGTTTGTGAGCCACCTTGGAGCCGTGGAGATGAAAGTAAGCAGGGCAGAGGGCCACTGCACATCAGTTGAAGCCACCCTGGCTCTCATCTAGTTCAACCCCATCCATTTTCAGAAGAAACACACCCAGAGAGGGAAGTGACTGGCCTTAAGCAACAAAGCTAAATTCAAGGCTAAGAGGAGAGGCTGGCATAGAGGGCAACCCAGATATGGGAATTCAGGGTAGTGTGGCTGGGAGCACCTCAAAACACACCTGCCAGGTGGGGAAGGAACAGGGAGGTCCAGAGTATTCCCTGAAGAACAGGTGTGTAGTATCCTCCCATAATGCTGTGATCCTTTGTCATTCATGTACCCCTTTCTGAGCAAAAGTTTATCCTAGTTCTCCGCACTGAGAAAGGCTTGCTCCCCTGTCCTGTGTGTTGTACATCCTCAAGTGCCTTTCCCCTCGTCAACCACTGACAAAACAGAATGAGAGACATATGCAAGGTGGATTTAAATAAATAAAATTCACTCTTTAGTTAAGGTCCGTGGAAAAGGCATGATTTTATTGCACACTCACAATACGCCAGGTCAGGTAGTGTTCTACTCATCAACACTCGTTTCAAAACAGGATTTGGAGACAGGATGCTTCAAAAGAGAACTGCACATTCAACTAAATGTATCCAAAACAATTCAACTCTTTTGAATTAGTCTCCAAGTCTACGCAAGCCATGGGAAATAGAAGATCATTAAAATATGTGATTATACACAGACAAATGGACAAATGAAACAGTAATTAATATTGCTTGAGCTCAGACTGCTCCTGTAAGATCTGCAGAAATCATATGACTGGGTAAGGTTTTATAGAACAATATTTCATCAGGAGATAATGGCAGTATCTCATTAGACTAAAAGGAGACGATAGATGCTGGAAGATCAGCTTTCATACAGCTCTTCTCTGTTCATAATAATACTGTGCGCCTTCTCCAAATGACAAAGAAGTAAATTCATACTCCATCAAAATAACCTCAAAACACTGAGCCATTTCAGGCCTTTAAAAATTGGTCAAGAATTGTTTGGCCCCCATAAAAAGACTCTGCCACAAAACTTAGATGGCACATAGGTAGAATATGTTTTAGTATTCTGCAGGTAAAAAATAACATACGGTTAACTATAAATAAGAAATATATGTGCAAAATATGTATGTCCTTAACATTTGCTACTCAAAGGTAATTTCTAAAGTATCTAGAATGAGCTAAATTTTTTTTAATAAAAAAAGCCTTCCTTGAAGTGCCCACTTTTGGCATTCTAAATATTATCTCTCTCTCTCTCACATATACACACACTCTCCACTTCCTTTCTAATCATGGTGTATAGATGCAAGCAATATTGTTGGTTCTATGACAATACTTTTAAAACTACAAAAACAAGTTCTCTCACTCTAATAGATGATGCATTTGTTTGTTTTCCCCTTATGTGACTCATCTGTTAGAGTGAGAAGGTTTTTGTTTTTGTTTTAAATGCTGTGCTTCCAGCAATAAGGATAGTCAATGGCACAAAATAAGTGCTCAATGAATAATTAATGCACAGTGAATTCTCTTACCTTTGCTCTCCTATATCTTCTAAATGTCCCATGTATGATTTTTGTAATAAGAAGTAAAAATAATGTTATTTTTAGAAGTACCAGAATCCCAAAGTGACCAATATGGACCATTACATGATGAGTTCTAAAGGGTAAAGATGTCCTTATTTGTCATCACGTCCCCAGGACCTGCCCCCAAGTAGGTGACTAAACAGGTTTCATTATTAGATGAATAAATTAATTAAGGAATGATTGAATTATCATAAATAAAAAAGGGCAGGAGAGTATTGTATATGTAATTAGCTTATAAGGAATCTCATCCCTTTCTACCACATGACTTTCTTTTTAAATTATTTTTATGTAGAAATATTTTAATGTACTTTG